TGAACAATTTTCTAGAGGTGAGGGAATTCGAGGCTGTCTGGCGTGGTCAATCCACCACTCGAAATGTCTGGCAGTGGCAATTTGGAACTAATGGAGTTATACCGAACCTCATGCAAAATATTTTATTTGGTTATCTCACAGCTGATCTAGACAAATTTCGGGAGTGGGCTTTCGAGGCTGTCTGGCGGGGCCAACCCACCACCCAATGTGTCTGGCAGTGGACATTTGTAACTACAAGAGTTATGCTGAACATTTTGGCAAATATTTTATTTGGTTATCTCACAGCTGATCTAGACAAATTTCGGGAGTGGGCTTTCGAGGCTGTCTGGCGGGGCCAACCCACCACCCAATATGTCTGGCAGTGGACATTTGTAACTACAAAAGTTATGCTGAACATTTTGGCAAATATTTTATTCGGTTATCTCACAGCTGATCTAGCTGATTTTCTCGCATCTTTCACGTGCCCATCCTAACCACGCCCACCAGCGTATGCCCGGCAGACGTTCATTTTCGTATATTCGTACGCATGTAGAACATCACTATGTGCATTAAAATTGGTTTGCTTTCCAGCTAGGCTCGACCCTCTGGGCTCCCGGTCTAAATGTTTGTACATACAAAGAAGGTGTACCTTTTAAAAATGAGCTCAAACAAGACCAGAAAATATTGCCATTTTTATTGCCCTTCTTATAGCATGTTAAAATGGTGTGAGGAAATGAGTTCAAACAATGCCAGAAATTACTGTAATTTTTATTAAGATGTTTAAAAACTTAAAAATTATAAACATTACTTTGGCCAGAATGTTTGAGCACACACAAAAGAAGTTTTAAGAAATTGTATGAACACAGAGTAAACCAAACCTTTCATAACAATACCTGTGGCATACAGTATATTTTTTAAAACAACACAATGTCAAGTTACAATGGCATTTAGCCCTAGCCCCAAGGTAGGTAAATTAGAACAATAACAAAAACTGTTTGATAAAAATGTATGAGTTTTAACAATTGTCCACTAGTCATCTATAGCTTCATAAACTAGTGACATTATTTTGGTTTTTATCATTAGGTTTTTCTTTTATGGTAAGCTCTTTATAGCTTCAACCAAACTTAGGCAAAAATGAGTATGAGCATCGTCACCTTTATTAGATGGTTTATCCTCGTTTGTAAGAGCATTGATCAACAGTTTGTCAACAGGATCAATTCCTTTTTTTGGTTGCTTAACAGGACAGGTTGGTATTTGGGCAGCTGCAGTTGATGCTCTGGTGGTGGAACTTGATGGTAACACTTCCAATACATCAGATGAGCCACAGTTATATTGCTGGTTGTGGTACGAGTGGGAACAATATCTTGTAAAAAGTTCAACTCATTATAGTACCGACAAGTGGGATTCTTTGTATAACCAGAACCAGACTTTTCCCGTTCTCGCTCTCTTTCTTTGCATTTTTTATAACTGTCATACAAGTTTTTCCACTTCTTTTTTGCTTCTTCAACTGCAGCAAAAAATTTTAAAATTGTATTTTATGAGACATAATTACTGTATGATCCCTCCTGTTTAATGTTTATAACTGCGACTAGGTGAAGCAAATTTTATTTTATTGCATCATACTCAGTTTGTGTCTCCAACTATCTCAAGCCAAGAAATTGGAAAAACAGTGCATTTCCAAGACAGTAATTAATATTAACAGGTCTGGGTTTGTATTACAAAAATGTCTTTAAGACCTCGAAATCCTCACAGAATTATAACTGGAGTAGTATGCTAAAAACTATAATTCTAAAATGTAGAGGTATATCAGCCATATAATTCCCATACAATTTATTATATGAAAGTGGTACTATTATATACCTGCCTGAGGGTTTAAGTTTTAATAATTATCAAATGGAAACATGCATGGACAGCAGTACAAACCACCTTCATGTGATCTTCTTTGGGAAAATATACATGGATTATGTGGACATTAGTATATAAATAAACACACTTGCTACTGATGTTTACCCTATATGTTTTGGAGGTTTAAAACGTCCCATAATTATAACTTATATCATATGCAAACAAATAGCACATTTTTTCCATAAACATTTTTCAATTTATTAATTTTGGAAATATGAGTTTTTAAAGTAAGAGTCATTTTTGTATAGGAATTTGGATTAGCTTAAATGTTTATAAATTAACACCAATTATATTAATTTTAGCGGGCCTTGCCATGTACTTGCGCTAAAATGATTTTATTACAATATTTTTAATACAATAATTACCCTTTTAATAAAATTATTATGATAGTGATAATATATATTTATACCCACAAACCTTAACATTATTGTTAAAATTTAGTTTATAGAAATTGTGCTGTAAACCAATCATTTGGTCTGCAGCAATGTACAAAAAAGATCATACAAGAATAACTATACAAGAAAACTGACGTACCACCAATCTGCAACTTTATGGCTATCTTTTCCCAAATCAGTTTTTTCTTTTGTGCTTCTTTGTATGCAGGCAACTTTTTATTCCAAATGCCTGGATAAACTTGTACTTCGGCTATTAAAAGCTGCAATAAATCTCTTCTTTCATTGGTGCTTTTGTTAAGTAGCTTTTTATTTTCTCTATTTACGCGAGGTAGGAGATCTTTACAACTTTTACTAAGGTTCAATAACGTTCTCTTCTTTCTTGTTCTTCTCTTCTCTTCGGATCCTTCGTCCTTTCGGACCTCGTTGTTTTCAGTTCTTGTCTGGGCTGTCTGTTCTGTCAGGTTGAGCTTCTCCAACGTTTCATTTGCTTTTTACTCCGCTAGTCCACTCCTTTTAGCCCACTCTCGTGTTTAGCCCACTGAATGATCTGTTGCTGTGCGCCTCCTTTTATAATAAAATTTGAGGGGATCTTGAAGATGCCCTGTGCAAGGTGATGTGATTCACACAATCCAATCAGCGTTGTAGGTTGTAAGTGTGGGTTGGCGTTAGAAGCTCGGTCCAGCTCTCATACTTTGTTTACTTAAGGCCAGTGACGCACTAGTCAAGTTGGTCTTTTACTTAATCGATCACTGTTAAAACTTGTTCACAACTTAAAATTTTTATCATTAACTTAAAGTACAATTATCAACTTATTACTCTGTGAACCGTATCTCAACTTATAAACCATTTTACAAATAATTTCATCGAATTAAGCTTTTAGTGACGTAAGGCTTCAAGTGCTTAACCGAGCAAAATATAACAAAGAAACTTATGTTCTTGAGTCGTGACATTTGTACGTTGTGCGACATACTATTGTTTCAGAGGAAATCCCATGGGCTGTCACCTATGACAGGAAAAGTAATTTTGTGATTCCGAAGGGTCATAATAATATTTACTTTACACTTCATTTTATGTGACATGTTCCCCAAGTAAGTTCCTTGTCGATATTGACCTTCTATTTCTTAACAATGCTAAATTACATTATATATTCGCATTTCGTAACACTTTCATGTTCGCTGAAATTTTCCGCCTCCACTCGCTCCTCATCCGATGCCATGATGAAACATATGTTGACTTTTTCGCAATTTCGCTTTTCAAAGTTGAAACATTCTCAACTACATTTTTCAGCGAAGAGAAAATTTTTTTTTGCTAGAAAAGGCTCAGTAAAAAACTGCGCATGCACCATATCGAATTTCGCGCGAAAAATTTCGCATTTTGGGTAAGTGGAAATCCGCCTTAAGTGGTAGAGAATTTAAAAATTCTCTTTAGATAAAATTCTCTCTCTATTACCTCTGCAAATGTCCATTGCACCTTGCAAATGTCCATTGGACTTTAGGTTAAAGCCTATAGATAGAAAATGCCCATTCGATGCAATGGAAATTTTCCGATCGCCGGTTCACCTAGCATGCAGTCAATGTGTTCAAAGACGTCATATCGTATTATGTTGATACCATAACAAGGTAAACTCCAATGGACAATGGAATTACCCATGCACTTTCTCTATCTCCATCGGATCCAATCGTCAATCAAATGAACAATGGACTTTTCCTATGTCTACTGGATCCATTGGGCGCGTTCGTTTCGACATTAATCCATTTGATAAAGAAAATGAAAAATATAAAAAATATGAATAATAAGCTGTTAAATAATAAATTAAATAAGCTGTTAAAAATAAGAAAAATGTTGCTGCTGAAGTGTTTACAGCAACAATAATGTGTATTTACTGAACCTTGGATAGCCTAATATACCTTATCCCTTTCCTTCTTGATTTGTTGATTTTCCACATGCTCCTTCCAATTGTGCGTTTGTATACTACACATTCCTCTTACTACATAATCGAACACATTCTCAGATAGCAAGCAAGGGGCTGGTAATCTTGAATTCTTCGTTTGCTAATGCTCGCCAATGGATATCCCTTTGAATTGAACAAAGTGAACTTAACGTGATGCAAAGCATCTGCAATGAATTCATTACAAATAACCCAGCAAAGGATTATTTGAATGATTAATTAAGTTAATAGTCATTAAGCAATCCTTAGCGGTAAAGAACTCTCGCCTTGGTTCACCTCCATCTACTGCTGGCTCACCAGAGTAGGAAATCTTAAGGATTGCATCTGGCTTGAACCATTTCTTCCTCCTTGCATCAACATAGTCATTGAAACATTCACGTCTCCGGATGTCCATTCTGTTTGTGGTAATTCAGTTCACATTATTCTGAAGCTTTCCAACTACTTTCTTACGAGATTCCTCAGACTGATGCTGAAGATCACCTAATTCACTGGGGAAATCAATAACCTCTTCAACGTCAGGATCATCTGTGTTTTTGTTCGGTTCAATATCACCAATAGGATCTACCCAGTTCTCTGCACACATGTATGCATGCTCTTCAATGTCACAACGAGCAAAATAACCCAGGCATGTGGGGCATTGATGTGGCACCAAGTACTCCTCTATGCTCTTATTACAATAAGACATCCTTGCCGACCGGCATGTCTAGGCGCTCAAAAAGGTGCTGAAGTAAATAACTACAATGAATCAAACAAGCTTTTATTTCACAACATACCAGTTCAGGTATTTCAATCATAATTTGAACCTTTCTTTCATTTTCAATGTCTTCCCAATCATCTGAATATTTACCGCCAGCATCCTAAGAAATCAACACATTTTCTGAACTCCTATGAGGTCAAACTATAATTTTCTTGTATGATTGCATGGCGACTTTAGTAATTATAATAACTTGTACCTACAAGTTATTATAATTACTAAGGTCAAACTATGTTTGAAAGCAATGAAAAATAAATTACATAATCCTAACAAGTTTAGACCACTTAATCATCAACATTCAGTTGTATAAAACGCTGCTCATATTCAGCATTGTATGATTTATGGCGGCGATGAATTCTACTCACATTTACCACATTAGCGATTTTCAACAAAAGAGCCAATATCTGGTGCCTATTGCTCCAATCTTTTTTGAAAGAAAAATTCGCATTAAAATACGAAATCCCTTTACCACTCATTGGTACCTGTAATTATAACAACAATATCACCATGACTAAACTGCTATAATTGCCATACTTTTTGGACCAGGAACTGGTCCCTAACCGCTGCTAATCTTGTTGTTGTTGTTTTTGTTGTTGTTGTTAGGGGGCGACGCTCTTTAAAAAAACCCTTAGGCTCTAGCATTACTTGTTTGATCGGAATGAAACTTGGCACAATTGTTCTAAGCAATATTCCGCATCGATTGACCGAGTTCGAATTTTTACTTCCTCGTCCACTACAGGGTGTCCCAAAAAAAACGAAAACTATTGAAATCACCCATAACAATGCCATTGTTAGAGTTTGAATGCCTAAGCACTCTGTTGGGCCCACAAGTGTATAAATCGGGGTTGCCATAAGCATTTTTATGCATGCATATGATGCAGTCAAATTTGCTTGTTCGCAAAAATGATATTTATTAACAATATTTACAATTTACAAATATGGATAACAATATTTAAATGTGCATCTCACTGAAAAACCATGACCTTCGACATGTCTCCTTTCTCTAGCAACACAAAGCATTTAGCATTTTATAAGTTGCATTAAATCCCCACGGGCTGAAATTTGTGAACACGACATTCAAATTTTAACAATGAGTGATTTCAATAGTTTTCGTTTTTTTTGGGACACCCTGTATAGTACGATCGTACTTGTTACAGTCACTCAAAGCATATACGCAAGGGCCTGATTAATTTAAAAACAAAATATATAGACGAATGTTAAATTAAAAAAAAAGTTAACCTGTTTGATTGAATATAACTTCAAATTATGGCATATTAAGTAATAATTTTATACGTATTTTGCAAACCAAAAGAACACAATATACATTTCAAAAATTAACAAAAAATATCCGCCTAAAACCGCTACCGGGCTTGCCCGCCTCATGTGAATCAGAAAATAAACTGGCCCGGCAAATAGCAACTTAAACCTTTTTAAAATTCACGGGCGTATTGCCTTAACTGGACTCTCTAAATTTATTGCGTGCTTTTGGCGTGCTAAGAAAGGGAAATGTAATGACATAATTAGCGTATATAATGATCAGAACTATGTTTAGTAGCAATCTTTATAACTTAACTTTTAAAATTTCAACTTTTCCATGCACACACATACCAATTAATTAAATCTCAATTACAGTTAAAGACGCATGGTAAAGCATGTGCTAATTGACTTCAAGTCACAATTCAATACTCAATTCACAAACTGCATCTCAGGGCAGTATTATATAACCTATGATGCATAATTTAGCATAAAAGACATATACATAGGTACCCAAAGTGTTGAAACAAGAATTCGACAAGTATAAATAGTTACTAACTTTCGTATATACCATGCAAGCTACGTAAATCACGCAAATTTGAAGAATATACTGGAGTTATATCATATAAATTATGCATTGAAAATCGATAATTGTAAAATAGCGCAAATTACTGGCATGTGAATAAATAAAGATGATGAAATAAACAAAACTATTATACATGTATACTCACTTTGACTTGCAATCAGGATAGCTTCTCTTTCAGATGAGTTAGAATGCTCCAATTAAATAAGCTGTTAAATAATCCAAGGTTTCCAACACACAATTTTATGTACTCATATAGATCTACATTAAAGAACTGAAATAAACAAAAATTTAACGGGATTTTATAGGCAAGATCTTCAAACTAATGCTTACGTAATGGATTTAATGAAACTACCACAAATTGCGTATTTACTGCTGAAACATTCTTCTAGCTTTTGAATGGTCAACCAACCTACGCAATTGACCAGGAACCGAAAATAACGGACATGTTATTGATGCTTAATAAAACTGTTAAATGAAATAACAATCTAGTGCATGGGATATAGGGAGGCGCTAGGCATGGGATATAGGCAGCCTTGCTTTCATGTAGTTGTGATGTAATTACCGAAAAGGTCTATTGTTGCACCTTTTGATTGTAACATATAATAATATAGTTAACATTTGAAATGGTTGGCTATTTATTTTCTTATGGTGGTATTAATCTAAACTTAAATTACCAGTATCAATTTGTTTCTACAAGAGCATTTCGGCCTCTTGCAGTTACAGAGTGCTTTGTCCGACCAGCTTTTTTAGCAACAGGTTCATTGTTTGAGATATTCATTGCAAAGCTGTGTGCTCTCTTGCGCTGAATTTGTGAGTTGTTTGGGATGAAATTTCAGATAACTTGGGAGTTTCCTTTGGATTGCTTCCTTCTTGTCCCAGTTGCATTTGTTCTCCTCTTTACTGCCTCCGGCTGAACTTTAATTTTGTTGCGTTTGGCTTTTTTTACTCCTTTTGAAATCTTTAGTGAGTAGCTAGAACTTTCACTGCCAAATGTATGAAGATCAGTAGTAAGATTTTGAGAGGACATACCATGGATCCGCTCTGAGAACTTAAGAACTCCAAGCACAAAGTTCATATCTGTATCATTATTTAGTTTCCTATCTAATACTTCAAACGCACCTTTTAAAGCTTCCTTAGCTCTTAGTTGCCTTGACTCCGACACAGTGTTTTCATATTGTGCTTGTGGTATTTGTCTACCATCACCAGAGGTTATATTGTTGGTCTCCAAAAAATGAAGTATAGGTTGCTCGGAATCTTGGCTACTGATGACTGTTTGTTCTGTGTGAATTCTGTCACGTATACCTTCATACAGCAAATCTGGTCCAGAAGCTCCAACAGCTATTTCAGCAAACTGTTTTCGTTCTTTCGCATCAAAAATTGGCAAGAAATTCTTTGAGATGGCTGACAATTTCTTAACCCAAAGTAAGTACTGGTGCTTACATGAAGTGCCACTATGGCATACTGGACACTCACATCGACCAAAATTCATGTCTACCAGGTATTCAACATCAAAACTGGTACAACTTGGGACTTTAAATATTTCACTACCAACAGATTCCACTTGAGTTGCTATCTCATCAAGTACCTCTAGTTGTGGTATATTCTTCAGTACACCCTGGTAACATCCACTATAAACTCCATCAAATGAACCATCTGCAACCGAAAGTAACTTTGCTTTATAATGAGCTTCTAAATCAGTTGTTAGCTTGTCTAAAAGTCCAAGTACATTGTATTCTTTAACTCGATTCAGAATTTCATCTTTGATCACAAGAAATTGAGCCTCAACATAGTTATTAGTGTTGTTACCACAAACAAGAAGATCGCTGCGAAATGCTAGTGCCCATGATTCCTGAATATCCATCACATTCTCAAGATATCTTGCAGCATTAGGATATAAGTCAAGAAGATCATGCTCCGACAATTCCTTCATCCTTTTTGTCATTTCTTCTTTATTGCTGGCATAAACAACAGTTTTCATAAGTGCCATAATTTCTGGTCGATGTTTTATTTCGATGTCATGCTACCATCTCCATATCTGTTGCATGAGATGGAAAATGCACAGAAGACAACTTTCTGGCCAAACAACTTTCAATGCATCACGGAGCTCCAAACAATTGTCAGTCATTATGATCGAGGGACCCTGACCACCACGACCACCGAATGAATCTTCACCCATACACTTTTGAAGAATTGTGAAACCTGATACAAGGGTTTTTGTACACTCATCACTAGTGATTAAAATTCCAAGTGGTAAAGCTCCAGCAACCGAATGTGTGCATATGAGAAAAACTCTCAGATTAAGTTCTTCCATGTTCGAAGAAGAATCAATGAACACAAGTTCGCCTGACTGTTTTACCTAAAAATGTTAATATTAGCTTTTTAGTGTTGTTTGCAGTAACTCCTTGGGAGCATAATTCTTTACAACCTACATCAAAAGAATTTCGAAAATATGCCAAATGGAAACAGAGATCAATTATTGTAGTCTGTAGAAAGGAACTGGTAATTTTGGTTACTTGAACAGGGATTTTGAAATCAAAGTCCCCAAAGATTGGGGATGGGATTGAGGTGCTGAAATCAGTGGTCATGTCTGTTAGTAATAGTGCATTAACCTATTTTATTGATATTGACTGCAATTTCTACTAGTATCCCACTGAGCTTGGGATTTTCGCAAAACTTCAAATGGGAAATGGGATTGCATCCCCCCAAACAAACGTTGCCAAACAAATAACACTAACACTCAGCACAACGCTCTCACCACTGAGCTACAATCATGGCATGAACAATCATGGCCTCGTAGCTCAGTGGTAAGGGTGTTGGATTAGACTACCGAACGTCACAGGTTTGATTCCCACTAAGGTCAATTGAACGTTTTTGCTTGCTTTGGTTGGTTCCACTCAGAGAAACTTACAAACATTCAAACAACAGTATTCTTACTTTTGAGTGCACTCCTTTCATCAGTGGTGTAACAATAGCTAGCACAAGTGGCAAATCTTTTTCTTCATCGTAGTCTTGTTTTTCTATGGATATTTCTGGATTCATCTTCTTCAACTCTGAAATTCTGTCATCTAGGGCAGCTAACATTTCCTCTCCATTCTTTGCACCAAAGTGTTCATGGCAAAATTCAGTGTAAATATTATAAAAATCTCCTTTCCTTGGACATTTGGATCGGTCACCTTTCTTGAGATGAAAGTCCAAATCACTGTCACAAGCAGCTCTCAAATTATTCAAAAATTCCCAATATGCTAAAGCAGGTGTAGATGCAGGATGCACTACAGGCCACGATTAATACACGTCTCGCGATACACGTTCACATCTTTATTTGTACACGATACGGTTAAAACTATAAAATACAAGAGGTGTGTCTAATACGCATTTACACATATATACAATTCACACAAAAGGAAGATTATAACTTACTTCTATGGCTTCAATAACTTTAGACACTTGGACGTTAGACGTTTAGGTATAGCTGTTAGACGTTTAGATATGACTGTTAGACGTTGCCGGACTGTTAGACGTTTCAATATGACTGTTAGACGTTACCGGACTGTTAGACGTTTCGATATGACTGTTAGACGTTTCGATATGACTGTTTATACAGAACCAGAGCTCAGTTAATTAATATTTATTAATTGAATATATGAAATAGCTCATGCGTGCGGTAATATTACCCGGCTCCTTAAACTATACTAGAAGTATGGTTTAATAAAGACAACCTTATTATTTATCGTTGTGTTGTTCTTCTATTTTCAAAAGTACTACCAGTTTATGTACTGGTCTTCGAATAATTGATGTTGGCGTTTTTACGGTGGCACTTCTGACCAAACCTTCATCATCAGGCTCCGTTGTTATTATTTTTCCCATCGACCACAAACCTCTAGGTTGGTTTTCGTTTTTAACTATCACGATATCTCCAATTGCGATATTCCGTTTCCGTCCTACCCATTTTTGCCGATTTTGAAGTGTTGTTAGGTATTCGGTTTTCCAGCGCGACCAGAATAAATTTGCAAGATATTGTACTCTTCTCCATCGACGATGCATGTAGATATCTTCTCTTTGAAAGTTTCCTGGTGGTGGCAGAATTATGCTGCTTTTCATAGTTAATAAGTTATTCGGAGACAATGGTTGTAAATCGTCCACGTCATTAGAAATAAAGGTAATTGGTCTTGAATTTATGATAGCTTCAACTTCGCATAAAACTGTATGAAAAGATTCATCGTCCAACTTTTCACTGTGATCATGTAAAATTCCAGTTAAGATTTTCCGAATACTCCGAATCTGTCTCTCCCAAATTCCCCCCATGTGGCTTGAAGACGGAGGGTTGAAAATCCACTCGATTCCAATGTTACTTAACTTATCATGGATGAGATTGTTATCTATTTCCTTTAATGCATTGGATAGCTCCTTGTTTGCTCCAACAAAATTTGTTGCATTGTCAGATCGTATCTGCCGAACCGGCCCCCTTCTTGCAATAAATCTTCGTAAGGCATGGATGAAGGAATTTGTATCAAGGGAATGGGAGACTTCAATATGTATTGCTCTGCTGGCCATGCAGGTAAAAAGGGCACCGTATCTCTTCATTACTTTACGTCTTTCTTTAATTAGAAATGGCCCAAAATAATCAACGCCAACGTAGGAGAAGGGAGGAGCTATACTTAATCGTTCTGTTGGAAGATCGGACATTCTTTGTACGTTGGGAGAGGACTGGCTTCGTCTACAAGTGACACACTTATATAGTACTTGTCGGACTGCTGCATTTGCACATACGATCCAATATTTTTCTTTTAGCATAGCAAGAACGTGTCCTCGGCCAGCGTGGCCCAACTTCTTGTGAACATGGCGGATCAGTAAGGTGGTAACATGATTTTTGCGTGGTAAAATAAAGGGATGTTTAAGTTGGTCTGTTAGGTCCCCACGTCTTAGTCGACCGCCAACTCTAAGAACACCTTCGTGGAGGAATGGACTTAGGCGATATATGGAACTTGTTCGCTTAATTTCGATTTTTCTTCGCCTTCTACTTTCTCGATCACTTTCATAATTTGACTTTTCCATATTACTTAAGATCTCAATTTCCTTCTCGAATGCTTGAATTTGCACGTACTTTATAATGGATATCTCAGCTTCTTCTAATTCTTGAACGGATAGGGGTTGTCGAAACTATGGAAGATGTCGGTTGAACTTTGTTTGATCTGGCTGATTCTTACGATTGCGAATTAATTTCAATAACATAGAACGAAGTCGTAAGAGTATTGCCATTCCTCTCTTTAACCGATTCCACTTCGAGTAAAATTCGAGGAATTTGTTAATCGTAGGTAAGGTAGGATTGATTGAAGTAACTGCTACGGAAATTTTCTTGTTAATCTCTGGATCTTCCTCCGAAATTGGGTTGAGTGGGAAAGGTTGTTTAGGCCAATTTTCTTCCTTATCCCATAAGAAATCTGGCCCTTTTAGCCAACGACTTTGCTGCAAGAGATCTTTCACATTTATGCCTCTAGAAGCTTCATCCGCTGGGTTGGCTTTTGTTGTTACATATCTCCATTGATCTACATCAGACAGTTCTCTGATAGTCTCTACACGATTCGCGACAAATACATGGAATCGTCGCTGGTCATTCGAAATATATCGAAGGACTGTCGTAGAATCTGTATGATGTTTCACAAGATTAATTTCGTCATCAAGTTCCTGCAATAACATGTTTCCCACTCGTGCTGATAATGTCGCAGCAATAAGTTCCAAACGGGGTATCGTCTTAATCTTGACAGGAGATAGTCGTGATTTTCCAAGTAAGAATGAACAGTGCAGATTATCCTGTTCGTCTCTTAAACGAAGATAGGCCACAGCACCGTAACCAAGAGAGCTTGCATCTGAGAAAGTATGTATTTCCCTGGATACTATTCAACCAAAATTAGTTGGTTTCAAACATCGATCAACGGATAGTTTCTCAATTTCTGGCAGCTCTTTTATCCACTTCATCCATCTAATTCGGTACTGCTCTGGTATCTCATCATCCCAATCTAATTTATTCTCTCGACAAAGATCTTGCAATATCTTTTTTGCTGACAATACAAAAGGTGCCACGAACCCAAAGGGATCATATACTGATGATACTACCGATAGTACACCTCTTCGTGTTAATGGTTTTGTGCTCAATGTTATCCGAAACTGGAATTGATCCGATTCGATACACCATAGAACCCCTAGTGTTCGTTGAATAGGGAGGGTATCATGAGTTAAATCTAGGCATTTAACTTCTTTAGCACGTTCCTCTTCCGGTATTGATGCTAGAAGGGCTCGGTTATTGCTAGTGAATTTCGTAAGACGGAAACCTCCTTTGGCACAAGCCTCACGCAGTTTAACGGTTAACTCACAAGCGGCATACTGTTCATCTACCGATTTTAAACAGTCGTCTACGTAAAAATTATTATGAATCGTTTGTGCAACTGCAGAGCCAAATTCTTCAACGTTATCGGCTCCTGTTTGTCTCAAAGCGAAATTGGAACAACTCGGCGAGGATACCGCTCCGAAAATGTGAACTGTCATACGATATTCTTCTATCGGCTGACTAAGATCACCGTTGGGCCACCAGACAAATCGAAGAAAATCACGCTGATTTATTGGAACGTTCACCTGGTAAAACATGGATTCGATGTCGGCTGTGAATGCAAATGGTTCTTGTCTAAATCTGGTAAGCACGCCAATCAAGGTATTGGTTAAGTCCGGACCTTGAAGTAGTTGATCGTTTAGTGATGTATTTCCATACCGTGCACTACAGTCGAAAACGACACGGATTTTGTCGGGTTTCTTGGCGTGATACAAACCATGGTGGGGTAAGTACCATATCTTTCCTGAAGTTGGGGAATTTTGTTCCGTTAGTATTTTCTCAGCATAGCCCTTTGTAATCAAGTTTTCCACAAATGTCACGTAATCGTGTCGATATTTCTCATTGCTTAACATCTTCTTCTTTTGCCAGTATGCTCGTTGTGTGGCTTGTTGACGGTTATTCGGTAGACGAGGGTCAGAATTTCTGAATGGTAAGGGAAGTTGATAATGGCCATCAATTAATTGGATATCTTGTTCGGCTCGTTTCAAAAATGATTTATCTTCTTGCGAGTATGCTTTGCCGTTTAATTCTGCATGGTCGTTGAAATCCATTTCTAATGTTCTTAATAACGACTTGGGAGTAAGAATCTCTTTGACACGCTCTACTTGACGGATTGTAATTCGGTTCACTGTAGTATTATGTGGAGTTTCATCACTTATTTGTATGGGGCCATTTATTGTCCATCCATGTCGTAAATGGATTGCGAACGGGCCTTCTCTGTTACATGGAATTACTCTCAGAGGCTCTAATGCGATCGGGCAATTACTTCCAATTAAAAGACCAATTTCGAGATTAGGATTATACGACGGGATTTCTTTACAGATTTCTGCTAAATGCTTACATTTGGATAGAGTTTCTGGGGTTGGAATTTGTCTATGGTCTACAGGTATGAATTCTCTCGAGTATAGCTTAGAGATCTCGATCGGATTCTGATGGCATGTATCTGTAACAATTAGATCATTTACAATAGTGCTGGGTACATGACTTTGTCCATGCATTGTTCCAAGTTTCAATGTGATCTCAGTTCCAGAAACTTCTAGTTGGTCTTTTAGAGTGTTCGTTATAAAGCATCCGTCACTTCCATTATCATAGAAGGCATAAGTGTCGACAAGTTTGTCACTATTCTTGTGTCTTACTTTTACAGGTAGGATGGCATGAAATATCGTCGGTTGACTAGTTTGAACACCAGTGCTTCCGTTGTTGACTTTCCTATTAGATTCTTCAAGATCATCTGTCTTACATTCTTGATTATTACTTTTACCAGGAAGTTTGAAACCAGGTATATGTAACGCAGTTGGGTGTCGTTTTCCACAGGTCTTGCACCTTTTTCTATTTTGGCATCCTTTCACCAAATGATCGTTGCCGTAACAACCAAAACACAATCTATTTTCTCTTAGCATTAGTTTTCTTTCTTCGATAGGTTTCTTTAGGAATAATCTACAATCGTCTAAGTCATGACCATTCTTCTTGCACGAAAGACAAAATTCTTTATTACTGAGTGACCCGGCTCCGTCATCTATGGTCTGTTCTCCTCCCATCCCGGAGACATTCGTTGAAAAACTCGAGCGCTTCCATCCTTCTTGTCTTTTTTCTTTCGAATCACTAGGTTTCGTAGTCAGCGCCTCTTTACCGTAAACAGGATCGTTCGCTGCATCCGCGCAAGAATTTACGAAGTCAACTAACTCTTCCAAAGTTGCCATTCGTCGTTTGCTTTTTCAAAATTCCACCGCACGATCTCGCCACTTATTCTGGAGAGCAAACGGAAGTTTCTTAACGACGATCTGCATGTTTGATAGGTGGTCTAAGGTCGTCATATAAGATAAACTTTTCATAGCGTTCTTACATTTCTTTAGAAGGAAAGAGAATCTTTTTAAACCTATCGAATCATCAGACTTCAAAATTGGCTGACTTAGAACTTTGTTGATATAAGCGGTTGAAATCTTATAAGGGTCCCCATACTCTTGATCAAGCAATCTCTTGGCTTCAAAATAGCCTTCAATAGGGTCACCATACAAACAACCGTTTATAAGTTCTTTGGGTTCTCCTTGAAGATATTGTTCCAAATAATATAAGCAATCAGCAGCGTGTGTTTTAGATTCGATACGGGCTCTAAACGCCATTATGAACGGCTGATAGTCTAGAGGGTCCCCAGTGAATTTGGGCACTTCAGATTGTGGTAAGGTCATCGCCGCAGCTAAACGTCGATTTGTTTCAATTACGTTTTCGTTGTGACGCTGTTGAGTTGTTATAAAATCTTGCCATGATTGATCATATCCTAACTTCTCAGTCGGCGGGTAGATAGTATGTTGATCCTCATTCCGTTGAATTCTTACTTTATTCGATGAAGGTGGATATGCTGAATACGAACGAGAAAAAGGCTGTGATATTGGAGGAAATTCCAGCGTGCGAGGGTGAAATTGTGATGATTGTTCCAAAGATCTAGCATTTAGTGATTCGGTCGGTCTTGTAGCGTTTCTTGTCGCATTATGACTCTGGTTTGTTGGAAGAACCTTGGAACTCGAAATAGATGATATAGAAAGATCTGACGTCGGCAGGGTAACCCGCGAGGTTGAGGTTGGATCGAGAGTTGGTTGCACACTATTTCTACGAGGCATGTCATACTTTTCTTTAATATTCTCACCGGGATTGACTTCTGACTGTTCTCTATTGCTAGACTGACTTTTATCACTCTGTGACTTTTTCTCATTTGATTCTTCGAAAACCTTTTCTCTGGCCCTAGCTTTAGCTATCTCGATATCAAAGTTCAGCTCCTCCTCTGCAGCCTTAATTGCCTGTTTTTTTTTAAGCAATGCTTTCTCTGCTATTAGCTCGGCGATCTTGGCTTTCTCCAGAACTTGCGCAGAAGAGGATGAACTTCGTTGTGAGGAACTACGTCTGGATTGTATACTTCGACGTGAAGTCTTTCCTTCGCCAGATTCAGAACTAAAGGCATGATTCAGTTGCTCCGACAGTTCGTTCTCTGTCAACGATATCCATACTTTTACTTGATTTCGAAACTCGAGAAACGATTTCTCACGTCCCTCGTAACGCGCTGTTACGTCGTCACGAACAGTTTCTGGACCGAGCTTATCGTGATAATTATGATATGCAGATTGGTATCGACAGAACAAGTCATTGATAGAGTCTACAGCCGACTTCACTAGATGTAAATTTCCGTTATCGCTCATTAACTGTGTAATTTCGTTTCTTTTTCGAGTTACAGAACTTAATCTTGATGTGAGAATCGCCTTGAGACGTTCTATATCATATGATTCGCCCTTTTCTGTCCGTTTCTTCGATCGACTTTGCTCTTTACTTGGCTCCGCATCACTGACTTGAGCTAAAGTCTCATTTCGTTTGCCGATATCGCCTTCGGAGCCGGAACTCGCTGCCATCAGGATCAAACCGATTGCTGTTAGCAATGTATATTTATACATAGAATTTTAACTAATGTAGATGCAGGATGCACTACAGGCCACGATTAATACACGTCTCGCGATACACGTTCACATCTTTATTTGTACACGATACGGTTTAAACTATAAAATACAAGAGGTGTGTCTAATACGCATTTACACATATATACAATTCACACAAAAGGAAGATTATAACTTACTTCTATGGCTTCAATAACTTTAGACACTTGGACGTTAGACGTTTAGGTATAGCTGTTAGACGTTTAGATATGACTGTTAGACGTTGCCGGACTGTTAGACGTTTCAATATGACTGTTAGACGTTACCGGACTGTTAGACGTTTCGATATGACTGTTAGACGTTTCGATATGACTGTTTATACAGAACCAGAGCTCAGTTAATTAATATTTATTAATTGAATATATGAAATAGCTCATGCGTGCGGTAATAGCAGGGGTAGTACCAGTCTCATACATTTATCTTATTTCTTCAGCCACGTTTGGAGATAAATCTTTAAAGTTCCATGCTTGAAGAGAATTTACAGGATGGTTGTGATTCCATTCCAAACATATTGAAAAAGGGTGTGAAACATTGCTTTTCGATTTCTTCACAATCATTTTAAAATAACAGTTTGTGTTTTTGAATCTCTTTTTTTGTTTTGCTTCATGTATTCTTGCAGCGTCTTTCGTCCCTTCATATCTGGTGTTATGGTGGCAGCGGAAAGTTATCTCCCCATCCGTAACATATTGCATTTCTGTCTGGGGAAACTGTAGCAAAACACACTTCAAAGCCATGGAAAGGTTACACACAAGAGCTGCATGTATAATCCACAGACTGGATTGGGATATATCAAGCCAAGAAGTGATACTTAAATCTAGGTGGAAAATATTGAGCAATACATACAAGCAAAGGTTGTTAAACACTGTCCACAAATGCTGTCATGGTAATGCACCAGACCAACTAGTCAAAGAAAGATAATAATCTAAGAGGATCGGGAAAAATGGCTATTCTAACGCCACAGATCAACTTTCTTCACAAGTCAGCAACATTTAGGGGAGCAGCTCTGTTGAACAAACTACCAGCTAACCTTAGGAACAAGAAACGATATAACATCTTTAAGATGCTAATACGGCAACAAGATCTTGAGGAGATGGATTTTAACTCTTACACAAACAATGATCATTCTAATTTTATCTATTTTTAAGCCTTATCTTTTGTAAATATATTTGTAATAGACATATTTTATCATAGTTTGTAAATAGATCTAAATTACTGGTAAACACACGACCACATCAGCAATTTGCTGCTCATACTTATCATGTTTAAATAAATGTCTTTCAATTCAATTCAGTCTAGTGAAGTGTAGGAACACAGCTTTATTACATATTTATTTAATTTAGTCAAAGCAAGATTGCTTTATATTTATATATTATAATGATTTTGCAAATATTCATAGCTTTCTAATCTTTCAAAATGTAAATTACAGATTATTATGATAGATACAATACAGATAACATTTTGGTGGTGTGACCAGAATAAAACAGCGGGATAGAGATGGGGAGTGAGTCAGTGAGGGCAATAAGGCAATGGAATAGAGATTTAAAAGCAGAATATATGCCCTTTAACAAGAAGAGAACAAATTTAGTACGGGCTTTGGAGCAAAACGAAAACAGAGAATCCGTGAGAGAGGAAGACAAGAAAACTTACAGAAAGATTGAGGGGGAACAGCTTCTATGTGGTCATATGCCTGAACAAGAGAAACAAATCTGGGAAGAGAGAATGATGACTGAACTGGAAATAGCAGAGAAAAGGTAATTAGAAAAGGAAGCAAGAACAACTACCTTGAAGTTATCAGAATTAAAGATATCCCCATTTGATGGCAGTGCAGGAGATTCCAAGTCAATATCTGACTCAGAGAAATTTGGTTATTTGCTAGAGTCAGTTAAACCCAAGGTACACAATAGACTTGCTAATCTCAAACCAGGTGAGAGCATGGGAAAGGCTGAAGACAGACAAAATAAACTGATAATTGCTACACACATTGAAGAGATTATACAGTTACAGCTGTTGAGTCTAGTATGGTATAATATTTAATCAACAACGCCTAGTTATTGTACAAGCTTATATAGTCATGCATCTAATAATATTAATATGCTACTTATTCCCAACCTTACCGTTATGTTAATAACTTTAGTGTTAGTGAATATCTAATAGTTACTACATCTCCCCCTTTTCAGATAATAGTCCTACGTTTTTAAATAGTTATGAATCATTTATAAATTAACTAAAGTTTCAATGTTTTCTATCATATACTATAATATTTCTATGCTATACTTGTCTACAGAAGTCCTTCAAGCTTCTCTCAAATACTGAAATCTTCCTCCGTTTTGATCTGCGCAGTCCCTGTACTTCTCTCATCTTCTTCTCCGTTCTGGTTTGGTCTTTGTTGGATGTTACATTGTTCAGATTGTCCTGGCTGATCTGGTTGCTGGTCAGATTGTCCTGGCTGTCCTGGTTGGTCTATTGTGGGTGGATATGGACCATCTGATGCTGGTGGAAACTTCGGGTTCTTTCAGTCGCTTAAATCTCGATATATCTCAACATTTGACTTTCTCATCTTTCATTGTTTCTGCAATGACTGTTGATCCTTTAATTCCAGTCACTCTATATATGTGCGCGGTTCAAATGGAGTGTCTCCTTTCTTCTTCTTTTCTCGTTTCACGATAACAGCATCACCGACGTTCAATTGATATGTTGTTACTCGATGTCGTTTATTGTGATTTTTCTTTGCTTTCTCTTTATAAAGCCTCTAGAGCCTCTCTAGATCTTCTAGAGCCTCTTGCTCAATTTGGGAATAGCGAGTCTCTGTTTCTGTCAAAGTCCTACTGACATAGTGGACTGGCTGATACCCATGTGCTGTCTTTTGAAATAATCCTCCTCCAAGGCCAACTGGGCTTGCATCACAGACGATCAGAGTCTCTCGTTCTGGATGATACGGAATTAAGATGGGTTCTGATGTAATAGCGTTTTTTAGGTCATCATATGCTGCTTGTTGTTCTGCTGTCCACTGGAATTTTTTATCACTCTTTGTCAGTCTGCATAGAGGTTCACATCTGCTGGAGAAATTTTCCACGAACCTGGATAAATATGCCATCATTTGAATGAACGACACCAACTCCTCCTTATTCCTTGGTCTCTCCATGTCTTTAACAGCTTTTATCTTAGTCGGGCTTGGACACAGCCCCTCGCTGGTAAATAAATGACCATAGAATTCTAATGATGAC